ATATCATTACCTTATCTATTATACCACCCAACATAATAGAACACATACCTAGACTTACTTCAGTAGGCATCCCTACTAACCATGGTAACCAATACGTAAGGATTATAATAATAGTCTCTCATCATAATCATACACGTATTATTACTCTTGCCAACACCATTCCATATCCCATGGATGTACAAATATTCCGACATCTAATGATCTAACGTAGAGGGTAATGATGATAATGTGTAGCGATTAGTATTGATATTATCACTTGGCAGTATGCCATATTGGCATGAGCCTCTTATCATTAAGCATTATATTCTCTATCCCTCCCTTTGGAGTCCATGAGTTAATATGACTTCCTATCTGGAAGCCTCTCATACCCTTCTCCATAACAGCTCTTTTCATCTCTTTAGCAGCCTCTTCTGGATGCTGTAATGGTAAGGTACCTAAGTTATCATCATCATCATCTCTATTGTAATGATGATACAGCAGTAATACTAGTCAAGTACCGACCTAAAGCAACCATCCTTCTAGGATACATTCCTACTTGTCCAGCAAGGGAATCATTAAGGAATCTATTATTATAATATTCAAGGTAGAGAGTATAGGTACCTCTATTACTACCTACTCCATTCTATACCAGATGTTGGATCCAAATGATAATTAAATAAGACAGGTACTGTACATACTGTTTGGACCTACTACACTATACTTCATGATAAGGATGGTAATGATGATAAGTGTATACATTAACACCCCAAGATTCACATTCTCTCATAACAACATGAGGATCGATACAATTAGGCTTCACCTAAGAAATAGTATACTAGATGATGATGATGGAGTAGGGATAGGAGGAGGAGGAGGACGACGACCACCTTCCTGAACAGTTTGCCATCACCCCATTCCATCCTTTTGATAAACCCTGCATTACGACCAATATCATCGTCTTTAGGTAGGTCTACTAAACGTAGATCGAAACCACCCTAATAGAGATAGTAGGATATAGACATCATGAGTGTTACCACCAATTACAATAGATGGCCAATCTTGAGGGAGTATATGGGTATGTATATCGATCTTAGGAATAGTAGGATCATCATGATGGTCAGTACTCATTAACATAAGCTGAACATGCCCTATATTCATAATAATAACAATATTACTTGTTATCAACACAACAATGTAGTAATCATTATCCTAGACAAGACTACTCCTAATAGTAGTAACTGCCGACTACCCGCCGGACCAAATCGATAAGCATCGTCACAACGACACAACAACCTGCTGCTGCTGCTCACGATAG